AACTGGTAGCTCGGCTCGAGGCGAAAGTCGACGGTCGTCGCCCGCGGCTCGACGTGCATTTTATGGTGTAGCGCACCGCAGTAAAAGAGCACAAACGATACAAGTCCGAGCGCCTGTACACATTAACGTCCATAAAACCAGTACAACATGTGGTACGAACACGACTACCCAAAAGTAGCCAAAGTGGTCGACGCAGTCGCAGACAATCCCACCCGGCAACGCGACGTGCTTGGCGTCCGTGGGGCACGTGCCGAGCCGCAGAAACGTCGCAACCATTGGAATGTAAAACAGATCCAACGCCAACGGGTGCACAAAGCGCTCAAGAAATATGTGACCTAGTCCAACCACCCTCTGTAAATGATCGTTCAAGCAGCTGTAAACGTACATGACGGGAACGGATGAAGCACCAGCATGACGGTACCACTGGAAAAGGCCAGGACCACGTTACCAGCCTGCACATGATACATAAAGCACGATGTTGAATCATGCACCAAACCTCGCCGGCCCACGGAATGCTGGAATCGATCGTCTCGAGTGCATGTAGATGGCCCGTGATGCGAAATGCGAGCTCGAGCGGCGCAAGGAGAAACTCGGCGGCTTCCACCCACATGGCCAAGAGTCGCACAGCGCGCTGGAATCGCTGCTGCCGCACCGACCGGTACTTGCGCTGGGAGAGAGCGATGGCGATGCCTACAAAGCCGCATCGTTCATACACTTACAAGACATGCGGAAGCCCGCACCTTGCGTGATGGGATCGTGGACACGGGCAGCGTCGCTTCGAAACACACCGTGGAGCGCGGCGTGGCGCCGGAGCATGCCAACGCCGAGTAGCACCCAGAGGCACCAGCAGAGCAGAATGGGGGCGAGGCGTAGCCAGCCGTAGCCGCAATCATCCCAGTGCTGCACTGCACACGCGACCGTGTCATTCGCTTCGTCATCGGCAAAGCAGCGCGGGGACATTACCAACAAGCGTATAAATGGTGAACGCGGTGTGTCACGTGACTCCAGAAACCGTTTGGCGCCAAAAATACATGACCGTCAACTGGATTACGGAGAGCACGTGCTGCGAGCCGGTACTTGTGCCCACAGGCCACGTGATCGTAGCATCAAGTAATTGTTTACGTGAGTTTGGCGCCATGACGACTAGACTATTCATGCGAATCGACCGACTTCTCCTTTCCCGTGACGTCGCTTGGTGGTGAGGTGCACGTACAACAAGTACTGTACAGCCGTAGACCTATGATTGCTGCCAGTACTGCCCGGTACCATTTCCCAAGGGGCATTTTGCGCCTGCAACAAGTCGAAATGGTCGTTTAAAGTACGCAGCTCAGGGAAACCAACGACTGGTAGAGCTCACCCTTCTAGTTTCGATCGTCGCCAAGCAACCCGGCACGCCTCACCCGAGGCGCAGCGGTAAATGCCTCAAAACCTGTGGTCGGGTAGCCTGAACGAGATGGCAATTGGCCAATCTCGGTATGCAGTAGCCATGCAATAATATCCCAAACTCGTTTGTGCTTTGAATCGGTGCACAA